TGTGTGTGTGTGTGTGTGTGTGTGTGTGTGTGTGTGTGTGTGTGTGTATAAGTCATTTGACCTCTCTGAGACTTAGTTCCCTCATCTCATCAAATCAGATATAAGAAAAGCTTTGGACAGTACCTGGCACATAGTAGGTGCTATATGTATACTTACTCCCTTCTCCCAACTTCATCTGTACAATGGGATTAATATAAACTGTGAGATCTGTTTCATGAGGTTGTGAGGATCAAGTGAAATGATGCTAACCATTTTACTTTTTTGGTCTGGGCCTGTGATTTTATTAATTGTAGGGACTTCTTCCCTCAAATCATCCACCTGCTCGGCAGCTTAGTCTTAAAGACCTTGAAGCACTGAGAGGTGAATACTTGCCCAGGGCCACACAGATATCATATATCACAGGTGGGACTTGAACACAGGACTTCCTGTCTCTGAGGCCAAATCTTCTTTACTGCCTCACACTGCCAATCATTATTATTATTATGTAACTAGTTAGAATTAGACTCTAGTTTGATTCCGTGGCTCTGTCAGTTAGTCTGAACCCCAGTTTCCTTATGAGGCCAGTGATGCTGACTCTCTCACAGTAGTGTTTTGAGGATTAAGGGATATAACATTTCTGAAAGTGCTTTTTAACCATAAATAATCTAATGGATCAATGATGTCTACCTCCAAGTTGTGCAGATTGCTACCTGCCCATCTTATCCAATCCTTGTTTTTCCCTGATTCAACAGAAGAACTCCACCTGTGGTGGATACAGAAGGAATTCTCATTCTTTTAACATTGCATGAATACACATGGAACATATGCTCTGTCTTTTTTTCCTTATCATACCTCATATAATAAAAACTTTTCTTATTTCAGAAGGCCTTTATTTTGCACTTAAAAAGGAAAATTGTTCTGTTTCTGATAGTTATTTGTTTCTGACATTGTTTATATTAATGATACTATTTTTTTGTAAACAGATCTGGAAAGTAGAAAAAGGACCAGATGGAAAAGCCATTGTAGAATTTTTGTCCAATCTTGCTCGCCATACCAAAGCAGTAAATGTTGTTCGGTTTTCTCCTAATGGTGAAATCTTAGCATCTGGGGGAGATGGTGAGTACTGTTACATTTAGAGTATAATTCTAGAAGCTATCTACCTCAAGCTTCAAGTAAAATTAGGAAATGTGAACTTTTGGCTTGGGAAATAGCTTTTTAAATTCAACAGTTCGATTTACCAAATATGACCTATATAATAGGTGCTTATGACCTTGTAGTAGATGATGGTCATAACAAAAATGAAAAATGACATAGTACTTCTCTTGAAGAAAGTTACAGTCTAATGAGGGAAGACAATATGTACTAGAGTCCTCTTGGTTCCTTGGAACTTTAAATTTTGATACAAGGTAGAATGTAATAGGCACACAGGGGAGAGCACTTTCATTTGTGCGGATCATGAAGAAGATGGCATCTGATCTAGGTCTTAAAAGCAAAAAGGAGGCATGGATCTGGTCTTTGTGAGTTCTTGGAAGTAGGAAGGTTTAGGATGAGATCAGTCAGCCAGTCAGTAAACATTTATTAAAAGCCTACTGTGTGCCAGGTACTAAACACTGGGGATACAGGTTTGGAAAGTTAAAATATGGTCCCTGCCTTCAAGGAGCTCACAGTCTAATAGAGGTAGACAACACATAAGGTTAGTGGAAAGCATGGCTGAAATATAAAGAACACAAAATGGAGTATTCTGGAATAAGACTGGAAAGGTTGATTGGCTCAAAATTGTAGATAGCATTAAATATCCTACCAGAGTGTTCATATAGTCAGTAGAGAACCACTGCCAGTTTTTTGAGCAGGACAATGACATGATTAAAAAAAATTTAAATTACAGTAAAAAAATGACCTAAGAAATGTTGTGAAAGCTAGATAGAAGATGGGTGAGACTGAAAGCAGGGAGATAAGTTAGGAGGTTATTACAGTAATTTAGGTGAGAACTAGTATGGCTATTATGAGGTTGAGTTTATGTAATAGCAGATAAGGGAGATATGGTATAAGTAAAAGTAATCAGACTTGGCATCTAATTGAATGCATGCATTTGAAGATGAGAGGAGTCAATGAAAACTGATGGGGTTTTAAGCCCATTTTGAACCTTCAGATCAGTCATGTGCTTGTCTTTTTCTGGACCATCAAAAGGCTGAAATTGATAGCTGAAAGGATCAGCTATATTTGATTGTGGCTCCTTTCTTCTGGTCTTGGAATGGGAAATAAATATTGATTCTGCTTGTTATTCTTTTGGAATCTATAGATATCCATTATAAACAGTGAGAAAGTGGTGAATACATAGTTTTATAATAAGATTTAAACTCCTTGTCTTGGCAAGATAGAAATGGTTTAATATCCTTATCCCTTGAGTTGACTTTTTTCTATTTAGAATTCCTCTTGATAACAGATAGACTGATTTGTGTTTTCTGTGTGTGCTTTCTAGGGATGAAGAGTTTGAAGGAAAATCGAAAGTATTTTTTATCTTCCAGTTCCACTAAAGTTTCTAAAGGCTGTTTCCAGCCTTTGTAATAATAATGTGTATATTGAGTAATTGAGGTGCCTAGAGTGCTGGGGTTGGAAATCAGAGACACTTAATTAAGTTCAAATCTTACCTCTGACATGACCGAAGCTGAGTCCCTTAACCTACGTGAGTCTCTGACAACCTTCCAGGAGTTTTACTGAGTCTAAGATTCTGCCTGTTTTGTAAAAGGCGTTCACATTCTGGGAGTTCTCCATGGTGATGTGAGCAGAGATCATTTCAGGAAACAGTAATGTTTTTGGAAATAGTCAACAAAATATGATCTGTAATCAAGATTAATACCCCATAGATGCTGCCATTTTGTTGTGGAAAGTTAATGATAACAAGGAGCCAGAACAAATTGCATTTCAGGATGAGGATGAGGCACAACTGAATAAGGAGAATTGGGCTGTCATTAAAACATTAAGGTAACTTACCATATATAACATATCTTTTTCACGTTTCTATTTCAACATAATACAAATTTTGGTAAATTTAAATTTGCTTTAAACATGAAATTTTTTTTAAAAAAATTAAAATGTTCTAATACAAAATTGAATTAAATTTTCTTGCTTTTTTAAAGTTACAAATTCTTTTTAATGTAGTTGACTGTAGCTGTATATGAATATATGGTCTCGAATCCAGTAGAATTTTGTTTAAAGAAATCTCATTCTAATATACTTTAAAAGCACAATAACTGTTTTAAAACAATTTACATTAAAAAAAAACATGCTGCTAAGATAATGTCTAATATCTTTCTGTCTCTACTTTGTATTTCAGAGGGCACTTAGAAGATGTGTATGATATTTGCTGGATGACTGATGGAAATTTAATGGCTTCTGCCTCTGTAGATAATACAGCTATCATATGGGATGTTGGTAAAGGTAACTAGTAATTTCTTTTGGCATTTTTATCTTTAGGAAACAGAGAATACCAAATAATTACATAAAGTTCATACTACAAGGGAGTTAAGAGCACTAAGCAAAAGAAAAAAAAAACCTTCAGTGGATTTACTTAGATGGTCAACTTTCCAGTGGTAGGGCTAAATAGTTTCACTACCTGAAGCTGGAAGTTGAGCTTGGCAGTAGGTAGTAGGTTGGCCTCATTGTTTGGGCACTAGAATGTTTGGTGAGATTGCCAAGAACCCTAAGTAAGGTCAGTGTTGAAGAGAATTCTTGGGTATCAAACAGGAGACATTTAAGGAATGGGTCTTCTTCCCTGACAGCGTGAGATCAGAAGAGTCTCATAGTGAAAACAGCTAGAAAAGTCCATCAGGAATTTCTTTACACCAAATCTCGACATGTGTGAATTTGACTTAGTGGTGTTGAAGAATTGATTCAATACTCTGCATTGTTCTTGTTTGGCTGAGGTATTCTTCATTTCTCATAGCTTCAAGGAAAAGAAAAACAGGCTGGAGACACACTAATAGATGCCATAACCAAATGTTTTGTTGAACTGGAAAAATCTGTGCAATTTAACAGTCTTTTGAACTGGGTTGGGAAGAGAAAAGATAAATTGGGGTATTATAGAGTTAGAAGACAGAAGAATAAGTTCATAGTGATTAGGTACAACTGAAACATTCTGGTAACAAGTAACATATTAATAGGATCTAATTATAGGAAGTTGAGCAGAAGCAAAGTTTCTTTTGGTAAAGATAGTTTCTAATGGTCCAGGGTGTCTGATGTATCCATAGTTCTTTGCAGTAATGTTCAAGATCTCTAGAAGCACAACAAAGTAAGACACATTGATTCCACACTAAGCTCAAGTTTGCCTAGTTATGAGTTTTTCTTCTGTTATGTAGAACAGAAAGCTCAAATATACCTCTTAAAACTAACCATCACACACCACTTTTTGTTCTCTTTGCTACTGTTGGTTACTCTCACCCATCTCTCTCTAGTCATACTAGTACCATATTTCTCTGAGGAGTGGCAGTGGTCAACCTCCTTTCAGGAAAGTTGATCTTTCTGGTGAATGGTACATTTGTGGAACCAGGTTCTATGAGTATTTTGTGCTTGGGACGTCACTGGATGGCTGCTTACTGGAGATTCTTGAACCTTCTCATCATCTACTTTTATCAGTAGACCTCTTCCCATCTACTGATATTCTATCTGGATACATTCCCCCAAAGTTAGGATGCTCCTCCCATTTCTTAATTTTCTCATCTTAGTGATACTTAACAACCAACTGCTGAATAACATACCCCCCCTACCAACTCCAGCTGCCTACTCCCTCATCTTCATCCGTCTTAACCCTGTATCCCACTCCAGACCTGCCTTCCAGGGTATCCTCCAGAACTCCTCATCTATAATTAACAAAAATCTTTTCATTTTAGACCTCTTCCTCTCTTGCTTCTCCCATCTTCTGTCATTCACTGAGACCTAGCTCTGCTTGGATGACACCACATCCCTGCTCATCCTTTCTACTACTGGTTGTACCTAAATACTTCTCAACTCATTGGTCCTGGAAGAGGAAGCCTTGGAAAGCTTCTTACCACCTTCAGACTTTCGCTCCACCATCTGTATTCAGCTACTTTTCCTCTTTTGAGACTCACTGTATACAAATTTATTGCCCAATCCAGATATTGGTGGCTATTATCTAGTGACCTCCATGACATCTTCCTTTCTGAATTAGTTCATTGCCTCATTCACAGTCTCCTTTGCCTTAACTCCTTTTATATTAGGATACTTCAGCATACATTTTAATGTTCCTTCAAATACCCTAACTTCCTATTTCTTCTAATTGAAAATGCTCTCTTCATAGATGCACATGATCTCTTAAATGTCAAATCTAATGTCCTTTTCTCAGTCTCCTCCATCTTGATCTCTCTGCAACTTTTGGCATTATGACTACTTTTTTCCCCTGGAAATTTTCTCCTCTTTGGGTTTTCTTGACACTTTTGTTCTCCTATCCATCTAACTGCCCCTTCTCAGTCTCCTTTGCTGGATCTTTACCCACGTCATGCTCACTGTCCTGTACTCTCTTCTCTTTTATTTTTTCAGTTGGTATTCTCAGCAACTCCCATGGATTCGATCATCATCTATGTGATGGCAATTCCCAGATCTATGCATCTAACCTTGGTCTGTGCCAGGCTCTGATCCCACATCACTAACTGGCTAGTGGGCATTTCAGACAGCCTGAGCTGTAGGTTTCTCACACTCAACATTTTCTTTTCCCTCTTCTCCTTCAGACCCATATATCTTCTGAATTCTTACTGTCAAGGGCACAGCCATCCACCCTGTCACTGTGGTTTGCACCTACTTTGTCTTCCTCAACTCCTCACTCTCACTCACCAGTTAGTTCTTGCTGCTTCTGTCTCCACAATATATTTGTATACATCCCTTTTTCTTCACTCACCACAGGTGGCTCAGGCTTTTGTTACTTCAGGACTAGAGTATTGTAATAGTCTCCTATTTGTCTTCCTGCTTCATCTTTCTCCACTCCACTCATCCTCCACACAGCTGCTAAAGTAATCTTCCTGAAAGGCAGATCTGGCCATGTTGTTCCCCTCCTCAGTAAACCTCAGGAACCTCTAGGATCAAAAAAAATCTTTGATTGTTATTAAAAGTTCTTCCCAGTCTCTCTCCTTATTTTCTTTCCAATATCCCCTTTCTCCTCTCCTAAACACACTCAGAAATCCAACTGTACTGGCCAGTTTCCTGTTCTGGACACATGATATGGCATTTCCTATCTCTGCCTTTCCCCCTTTACTTTCTGGAATTTTCTTCCCTCACCTGCACCTTTAACCTTCTCCAGAAGGCTTTTCCTTGTCCCCTAACTCCTAGTGGTTTCCACTCTAAGGTTTCTGTTCTAAGCCACCTTGTAACTACTGTACTTTGTATCTTTTGATCTGCATTGGTAGAGGAAATTCCCTTCTGTGAGCTACATATTCCAATGAAATGACAGGTCCAGAAGAATACCAAATAATTATTTTCATTTTAAAGCCAGCTGTAAGTATAATACAATTAACAATGTATGTCTTTGCTGATAATACTTAGATGACAGGATTCTTTCTGTCTAAATCCTACTAGGAAATTGACAGAGAAATACTTCATTTATTCAAAAAATTGCTTTTAGGACATTACCTCTTTCATATGTGAGACTTTTGATCACTGAAAGAGGAAGAAAATGAACTTTTGAGACACAAAAGGAGTTTTTTTAATAAAGAAAAAGAATTAAATTAACTTGGAAAGATATGAAGGGTTGGTATATGGAGAGTAATAGCAAAAGAGGCAGAAAAGGAACATTTGTTTATGGAAAACTGATAAAATTCTAGTGGGAAGAAACGGTTTTTCCATTAAAAGGACTGCTAGGAGGACCAAACAGAGAAAAGGATCTGTTTGAGGACAGAGAACTGACTGAGGCTACAGGGCATTGTAACTCATTCATTTGCACATAACTTTTCTTAGAGATTGAAAGTTTAAAGTCACAAAGTGGTAAATCAAGCAACTGTTTGGAGACTATGAGATAATTAAATAAGGATTCTTGGCTTCATAACTAATAGTTTTTCCTTTTAAAGGAAAGATGCGTTACTGAGCTCAGACTTGAGCCACTAAGTGTTGAAAAGCCCAGCAGCCGAACGGACAGACACGTAGGTAGAAGAAGCTGAGTGAGAAGACAAGTAGCAGGACAGTAGCAGACAAACAGGCTCCAGCAGTTGTACTTGGGAGCTCTTAACTTGAAACTCAGTTTCATTTTGGGGACTGGCTGAAGGCTAGGAGCCTTCGAATTGGAAGAGAGCTGAACTCTGCTGCAATTTCAGCCATTACCCTTTCTACATATTGAAAGGTGAAATTTCTCAGAAGCTTCTGGTTGATTTCTGCTGCTTCTCTCTGGCTGGAAGAAAAATAAGGGAGGAAGTCAGGTATTACAGTTTCTTTGCTATAAAAATAGGCTGAAGCTCATTGCACAAACCCGCATCTCGTTGAGTGAAGAGCTGGGAGGGCTTGTCTGCATTACTCAGAAAGCACAAATGAAGATATTGGCAGTTCACTAGCTTAAAGGAACTGTTTATTGTCATGATAGTGTAACTTCCAGCTAAAAGACCTTGTCACTACTTCATCAGTTCAAGAGGAGAACAGATTTACTCAGCAGTAGCAGCGAGGACCAGAAGGGGTGCAATCAGCAGAGAAACAGCTTCTTGTGATGCAGATTATTCATAAAGGGACCAAGGACGTCAAGGCCTGAAGCAGAATTCTCTGCTGTCCCAGGAACCTGTAATGGCCTCATCAATATGTCTCTTGAATAGTTTTTATAAATATGTGCCCACTGTCCCCCATAGATACTACACCCATTGTTAGGAGAATGTGGCCCAAGTTTATGAGTTAACTGTGATGTAGTTATTATTTCCGCGTTGCTTTATAAAATATTCATGGTGTATTGAATATTATTGATTTATCTCAATTATTAAGTAAATGTTTTATGTTTAGGATTTAATGATGTCATTATTATGATTTGTTTTATGTAAATGGGAAAAATACTGATGGAGATTCAAGACCTACAGTGACAAGTAGAGAGAGTATATCCCCCCACACCAGAGGTATCCGTAAGACCCTGAGTTTGAGGCATAGGCACATGGGAGTAGTCTTTCTCTGGGAACCCAGACTTGCTAGTATGAAGACAAGTTGGGATGGGTGAACCAGCCCAGAGAAAGAGACTGCCCATGCCCAGTTCCAGATACTACCTTGTGTGTATGTGTGTGTGTATGCAAAAGAGGGACATGGAGAAAAAAATCTATGCTAGGTATTCCACACATTTGTTACATGTAAATGAACCAAAATTACAAATTTGAGATATATCGGGTGTTTTTACTTACACGTGCCCACGTGCACACACACACACACACACACACACACACTTTCCTGATGTAACAATGGCAAAAGAATAGTAATCAATAATATGTGAGTTTATATGGCAACTGAATTCTATGTATAAATATAATTTCATCTAAAGATATTTAGGGGGGTAGGTGGCACAGTGGATAGAGCTCTAGCCTTGGAGTCAGGACACTTAATTAGCTGTGTGACCATAGGCAAATCACTTAACCCTGTTGCCTCACCAAAAAGCAAAAAATAATAATAATAATAATAAGCAAGGCATGATCTCTACCCTCAGAAGTCTTTCGTTCTAATTGGAGAAAAAAATATAAACACAAGAAATTAAGTAATACAAGACATAAATGACAGTTCAGTAACAATGTAACAAATATTACCGCCAGAAGAACATGGTTAGTTTCCAAATGAACACTGCAAAGTGAAAATTACTCAGTAGTTTATGTCATTTGAACTTGAGTAGAGGTTATATATTATTTTGTGTGCTTTTCTAGGACAGAAAGTTTCCATATTTAATGAGCACAAGAGTTATGTACAAGGAGTTACCTGGGATCCCTTGGGTCAATATATTGCTACTCTGAGCTGTGACAGGTGAGTTGGGGCTTTAGCAGCCATCTTCTTCTGCACTTTATTGAAATTGTTTGTAGTGACATTTAATGTTGGTTATTTTTTAGTGAAGGTTGTATGCCATATAATTGGGTTTTAATATCACTATTTTAATCATTACTAATCTTTTATAGCTTTAATGCTTTTACCATACTTCTTTCTCTTATTTTAGATTTTTCTGAATAATCAGATGTCAACATTTTCCTCTGGTAGAACAAAAATTCATTCTAAAATATCTACTAGAGGACGTTGTACATAGTAGGTGCTCAGTAAATATTTGTTGAATGATTTAAGCAGGTGTAGCTTCCTAACTTTCTTTAAATACTTTTGAACATTATGGTAAGGGGCATTTTAAAATATAGCGTTATAAAATAGAGTCTCTTGGAGCAATTCTAAACATTTTACTTTTTTTTTTTTTTAGTATTTAGTCGACTTATGATTTCATTGCTTTGTATACTCCTTCCACTGATAAAGATCGGAATCCACTTATGCCTTCTCCCCCTATTCATATCCTCCTATAAATAATCTGGAAGTGTAGCCTCCAGACTTTGGGAATCTTCCTGTAGATCTTTTGACATTTTTTGGATATCAGTGATATTTGTGGATTCTTCATTGATTAGAAACGTAATACTTATAATTAATGACAAACATGCAAAATAAGGATAGAAATCTTACATAAAACTTTTAGCATATAACAAAGAACAATCACACAGGGTAATGAACAACAAACAAATAATATTTTTTCTGTTTGGCCCCTTTCAAGTCAACCTAAAGTCCTTGTAATGATCAAATGAGATTATAGTTGTAAAATGTTTAATACAATGCTGGGCATATTGTAAGTGCTAGATAAAAGATGACTACTACTACTGCTACTTCTATGTTTTTGTTTGTTTAATATAGTTGTCAGTGAATATATTATTCTAGTCCTATATTTCTTCTTTTTTAGCACCTCATACAAGTTCTTCCATATTTACTTCTATGTTTTACATTTCTGTTTCTTATGTTATATAACAGTAACATTAATATAACATTAACAATATGCCACTAATATTATGTAACATTAATATACCAGAGCTTATTTAACCATCTTCCAGTTTTTAGATGTGTTGGCTAATTCCAATTTTTTACTTTTTTTTATGTAAAAACACCCTTCATATTTTAAAGTATTCCAACTAAATCAGCTTTGAATATTTTTATAAAACTAGGTCCATATTTCCCTAATATATTGTATTTTAAAGATAAAGTTCAATAAAGGAATCATTGAATCGAAAGATATGTGATATATTGTATGTTGCCTTGTTATTCTCCAAAATGTTAATACCAGCTGACCATCTCCTCTATATAATGCCTGTTTTTTTTTTTCAGTTCTGCAGACATTGAATTTTATCACTTTTTGCTAATTTTGCCATTTTTAGTGACCTTAATGGATATTAAATCCACCCCTCTTATTTTTTAAATGCAAAAATGGAGTTCCAAGGAGATTAAGTGACACCCAGGATAATACATCAAATTTAGAGTTTAAGGTGGAATTTGAACAAAGGTCTTCTGACTCCAAGTCCAGTGCTCTATCCACTATGGGCCACTAGCTCTCATATGTATCTTCTCACATTTTTCTGAATTTTTCATATTTGTCTTCTCTTGTTGCACTGTAATATTATGATATATAAATATACCACCTTTTTTCAATCATTCCTCAATTGATAGGCACCCATTTTCTGTCCATTTCTTTGCTGCCACAGAGTGTTGCTATGAATGTTTTGGTATATATATATATTTGGTATTTATTTTTCTCTTTGATCTCCTTAGTATGTATAACTAGTACTGGGATTGCTGAGTCAAGGGATATAAACAGTTTAATTAATTTCTTGCTTAATTCCAAATTGATACTTGGTATGATTAGGCCAATTCAAAGTTCCACAAATAATGTGTTTCTGTTCACCCCCCTTTTTTATTTTCTTTACTCCCCCATGATTTAAAAAGAGTGATTTTTATCAAATATCTACCTCTGATATATTGTTGTTGTTCAGTTGTTTTTCTGTCATGTCTGACACTTCGTGATCCCATTTAGGATTTTCTTGGCAAAGATATTGCAAATACTTGCCATTTCCTCATTTTACAGGGGAGGGAATTAAGGCAAACAGGGTTAAGTGACTTGCCCAGTATCACACAGCCAGTAAGTGTCTGAGGCCTGATTTGAACTTAGGAAGATGACTTCCAAGGCCAGTGCTCTATCCATTGAGCCACATACCAGCACTTCTGATATGTATTTGGTTCTATTTTTATGGTTTCTATTCTGTTCTGTTAATCTATATATCCTTTCTCCAGCACCAGACAGTTTTTACTGTTATTTTCATGGTACAACTGGTAGGACAAATTCTTAACTGTTTTTTTTCCTTCATAATTCTTTATATTCTTACTTGTCAAATAATTCTTCATATAAATTTTGTTATGTTTTTGTCTGATTCAGTGAAATACTCTACTGGGACTTTGGCACAAATTTAATGTCTAGATATTAGTTTGCAAAGTACCAATATCTTCACTACCTTTGCTGTACCTTTGGGTGTGCTGGTAAATGTTTAACAACTGACTGGGGGTGGTGGGGGTGGTGATGTATGTATGACACACTTTTAAGTTTAATCTGCATTCATTAACGTATTCTCCATCATTTTCTTAAGTCTAGACAATCAACAAAACAATAAACCGATCCCTGATTTTATAGCATTTGCTGATTTTTGAGGTTTAAATGCTCACACTGAAAATTTAATAATTAGCTTTCCCTCAAATCCTTTTTCCCCTCCTACCCTTCTATTACTGCAAGAGAAACACCATCCTCCCATCCTTCAAAATCACAACCTAGATGTCATACTGAACTTCTCACTATCTCTCACCACCCATATCTAATCTGTTGCCAAGGCTTATTGAGATCACCTTTATAGTATCTCTGGAATAGCATCCTCTAACACTAATACCACTCTGACATGGACCTTTATCACCTCATGCCTGGATTATTGCAATACCCTGCTGTTGGGTTTGCCTGCCTCAAATCTCTCCCCACTCTAATCAGTCTTCTATTCAGCCACTAAAATGATTTTCCTAAAGCACAGGTCTGACCATGTCATTCCCCTCATGCCTGTAATCCCTGCAGCTGGTGGAGGCAGAGACTGATGGAATACCTTGAGTTCCAGAGTTCTGAGCTGCAGTAGGGCTAGAACAGCTCTGATAAACATCCTAAGTCTGGAATAAACATGGTGAACCACCAGGGTTGCCTAAAAGGGAATGACTCAGTCCCTGTCAGAAAAATGTAGCAGGTTAAAACTTCCATGCTAATCGTTATTGGGATTGGGCCCTTAAAAACCACTACACTTCCAATTTGGGCAAGATAGGAAGACCCACTTCTTCCCCTCCCTTCTCCCTGACTCCCAATGCCTTGAAATCAGAAGAAAATTTTTCACACAGATGAAAGAGGCAGTGATTATGGAGGTGGGGACTAATAGGCTAAGAGTGGAAGATATGATCTCGGACCTACACGTTTCTCTAGAGAATATGTTAAGCCCTGCCTATAAAAGCTGTAATCAGGGAAAACCGTATCAGAGGTGATTATGAGGGTGAACTGGAGCATGTTGGGCTTGCCCTTTTGCTATTCCTCTTTTCTTCTCTCTGCTCCTCAGCCCTCTTCCTCCCCTTGTCCCTACTGCCCACCACCACTAGTTCTTTGGAAGTGACTTTATCTACTGATGGAGTCAGAGGGTGGGAGGATTTTAATACTTAGGAACTTGGGTGTGTGGAAAGGAAAGAGACAAGCATTTTTTTTTTTAGTTTTTTTTTTTTTAACATGTGTTTTTAAAACTTTGGGTTACAAGTTTTCTCCCTTCCTCCCTCCCCACCCACCCTCATTGAAAAGGCAAGCAACTCGGTACAGGATATAGATGTGTAGTTATGCAAAACACTTCCATAGTAGTCATGTTGTGAAAAACTAAGCATATTTCCCTTCATCCTATCCTACCCTCCATTTATTCTATTCTCTTTTTTGACTCTGTCCTTCCTCAGAAGTATTTGCTTCTGATTATCCCCTTCCCCAATCTGCCCTCCCCTCTATCATCCCCCTGCTCTCTTGTCCTCTTTCCCCCTTATTTTCCTGAAGGGTAAGATAGATTTCCATACCTAATTGTGTATGTTATTCCCTCCTTAAGCCAAATCCTGTGAGAATAAGATTCACTCATTCCCTCTCACCTTTCCCCATTTCCCCTCCACTGTAAAAGCCTTTTCTTGTCTGTGAGATAATTTACCCCATTCTATCTCTCCCTTTCTCCTTTTCCCAGTATAATCCTCTCTCACCCCTTAATTTTATTTTCCAGATATCACCCCTTCATCTTTAACTCACCCTGTACCCTCCGTCTATCCATCCATCTATCTATCTAATCTATCTATATACATACATATAATTTTTTTCCCTCCCACTATCCTAATACTGACAAAGGACTCATGAGTTACAAATATCATCTTTCCATGCAAGAATGTAAACAGTTCAACCTTAATAAGTTTCTCATGATTTCTCTTTCCTGTTTACCTCTTCATGTTTCACTTGAGTCTTGTATTTGAAAGTCAAATTTTCTATTCAGCTCTGGCCTTTTCATCAAGAATGCTTGAAAGTCCCCTATTTCACTGAATGACCATTTTTTCCCTAAAGGATTATACTCAGTTTTGCTGGGTAGGTGATTCTTGGTTGTAATCCTATCTCCTTTGCCCTCTAGAATATTATATTCCATGCCCTCCAGTCCCTTAATATAGAAGCTGCTAAATCTTGTGTTTCCACAATACTTGAATTGTTTCTTTCTTGTTGCTTGCAATATTTTCTCCTTGACCTGGGAATTCTGGAATTTGGATACAATATTCCTAGGAGTTTTCCTTTGGGGATCACTTTCAGGAGGTGGTGGGTGGATTCTTTCAATTTCTATTTTGCCCTCTCGTTCTAAAATATCAGGGCA